GATTTATTAGGTTCATTTGTCCTATTTTGATTTTTGGAGAAATGTAGTAGAAATCCCCCTTTCCTTGTTTTAAGCAGATGGAGATAACGATGATTTGACATTAGTCTTTTTGAGCTTTTGAGCTTTGGAATATACATTAGAAAAATGCATTTGCCCTTCGCCTCTCACCAATTATGGGATCATGTGAAGAAAAGAATTTCTGCTGATTGAATTTTTTTTCCTGTTCATGTATAAACTTGTGACTGGTTGCATCCTATATTGTCTAATTGATTTTGTTCCTTACATTAAGAGCTTTTCAATATAAATGTACAAAATAGATTAATGATTCCCGCAATGCAGTATTACCCAATGTATTGATAATGTGCAGGTTCAAATGCAGAGGCAAATGCATCAGCAGATGATTCATTCCCAAAATATGGCTTTTCATCAGCAACAGCAAATAGAGAGAATGAAAAGGCGTGCTGCAGCTACTCCTCGCCCTGCCATGGATATAGATAAGGAAAGACCACTGGTTCAAGTGAAGATTGAAAACCAAGATTTACCAATTGATGGTAATGCATTCACTTCTAGACATCCCCAAATGCAGTTTAGGCAGCAACAGCAGCAGCAGATGGCTGCAATGTCAAATTTCCATTCTCAACCCGGCACTCAGTTCAGACAGATGGGATCCTTACAGATTCCTTCAATGCAGTCACCGTAAGTTATTTAAAATAAATGAATGCTGCTGTCAGGGTGGCTTTTATGTTACCTTTTACAAAGACTTCATTGTTTGTGTATATAGGAACATTAGCATGGTTAGAGCCCCGCCTGTGAAGGTGGAGGGCTTCTCGGAGTTGATGGGTGGGGATTCATCATCCAAGCATGATTTAGACGAAAATAGACTCACTTCTCCCAATGGTAAGTAGCCTTTTCTCGGTCAACGTGGTCCTATGAATTTGGCATTACCTTCATTGTAATACAACTTTTTCTTAGCTTTCTTGTATAGTAGCTCACTCCACCAGTGCCATCAATCCCCATGGATCAAATATTATATTTTACGAAAGTGTTGCTCTCAATGTACTGATTTTTGCTAGGTATGTTTTGTAATAGATAAAAAAGATAGATCAATTTTTGTTGGCATACACCTGCTTTAATGTTTTTTATTATTTATTTGATAGCGACATAAATTGCAAGGGCAATTTTTCTGCGCTTCACTGGTTCTCGCTTCCTTGCTCCTAATTATTTTTCTTCTTTGGATCATGGAAGGAAAAGTAGTTCGAAAAAATATGGTTACACAAATAATAACAAGACACTGGGATCTGATGCACCTTTTTATTTCAAGTGTTCCTTAAACCAGTTACACATCTATTATTTTTTCTTTTTCTACTATGCAAAAATTTATTTGTATATTAAAATACGACACCGCATTGAATAATTAGATGCAAAATTGTAACAAACAAACACAGATATCAATCATGCTTCGTATCTAAAAGAGCCGAGCCATATTTATGTATATGTTTATAAATTATAAATATACAATTTTAATTTACTCAATTAATGATGGTAATTTGTTAAACAGTTAAAATAAATAACATTAGTACAATTCGTGTAATTTTTCAAACAACTCAAAATTAAAGAATATGAATAATTAAAATGAAAAGTATAAATTTTCAAAATAAGGAACGAAGAATGTTAATAAAAGTTCAAATTAGACATAGATAATGACCGATCATTCGTCAAATTAAAAATTAAATAACATTAATGGATATTGATAATTTTAATAAAGTTTATTAGTACTAATAAACGTGATTAAAATATGCATCTAAATTAAGCTTAATTATAAATATTACAAAAAAATGTTTATACATTGAGATATCAATCCTGTGAAACATAAGACCATTAATTTATTCTTTACCTACTGCAATGTTCCTGCTAATTAAATGTTTTAAAAAATAAAACGGAACAGAGGCATAGGCGAAAAGGCTTGTAATTCAAGTTTTGTCGATCTAGATTAATTATCCATTAAATTGTTGAGAATCATATTAATTGAAATTAATTGTAGTATATATATATATATACATACTTCCTTGGCATACTAGAATACTACAGTACATTAAATTTAATACTTCTGAAATAAGAAATATACAATATAATTATATCCATTAATTACTATGCTTCTTTCCCTTTAAAAAAGTCGAATATCTTACATAAAATAAAATCCTATATCATCCGTCACAAAATAAATCTCAAATTCATCAAGGTACCTCCAACATATAACATATCGGCAACCACGTGCATTAACGTAAAAAAGAACCAGAATCACAAGCATTATTTATAATGGTTTTCCAAAGTAAGAGATAAAAATAATAACTACGGGCTACTGGACTGCAGTTTTGCCTGAAACAAAGCCCGGAAAGCAAAATATTTCATTTGATGTAATGGAAGTATTTTACAAGAACTTATCTCTTCCATTATCCTCACACCCGAATATTGTGAATTCGAGATAGACAGCCTCTCAATATTTTTGTATCCTCAAATAGTCCTCTATTTTCCTACATTCTTGAAAGAAGGAAAGACTTTCCTTTTTCGAAGTGGCAATGTTCCATATATAACAGAATACAATATTATAACGCTAATGAGTAGCAAATGATAGCGAATGACCTGAAATAAATTTTAAATACGTTACAAATACCATTAGGAGATCAGTTACAATTCGGAGATTAATAAATAAAAGAATATAAATGCAAAACACACCGGAAGAACTATTGGGGAACTTTAACATACAATTTTTTTTTCTTCATCACATCAACAAAGACAAACAAAAATTACATAGGCCTGTTTGAACAATTATGACAGTAATTCTACCTAGCATTAATCCAAAAGGCATTATCTGATTATTCCAACAAACAATGGTAGGTGATAAGCTCCCAATAATACAGCAACTACTTACCTTTGCAATGGATTTGTTGAAAAGTAGGGAATGAATCTGAATTGTATTTCTGACTTCTGTGCAAAGGGATTACATATGGTCTTTATAGATTTCTTCGTATCACCTAATAAAGTATAAAGACAAGGAAAATTAAACAAATCAAATGAAATCAATCTAATCATAGGAATAAAATAAATTTTACTAACTACATTTCAACACTTCTCCTCAATCTAGTGAATAGATATCCATTATTCCCAGCTTGCAAGCAACATCATGTGGAAAAAAGTCTTGGATATAGGGTAAGCTTTCGCTGGAAATTATTTCGTAAATCTTCTGGCAATGGTTTAGATTGATCAGAGGCGAAACAGCGATGAAGACTACTGCTAACTGCCTATAATGAAGATAGATTATGAAGTGATAAACGCTGCAATAAAGACGATAAAAAAGGGACACCATGCTGCAATGAAGACAGTAAAAATGGGGTACAATAAAGGTGCCAAATGTAGCAATGAAGGTAAAGAAAAAGGGGCGTATCAGGCAGAAACTGAGTAACAAGCCAAACAGGTGCATTTCTTTGCCACAGAGATTCAAAGACCAAACAAGGTCAAAACAAAACATAGAACCAAACAGTAGCAAATGTCCATCAACAAACAGAACTACACCAGCTGCATAGAAGAGATGATAATGGCATGAGTAGGGAGCTGTCAACAGTGAAGTGGTGATGGAACAGGTCACAGAGAATGGTACCCCTCCAATAATATACACAAAGACAGACTTGAAAGGCAAGGAATAAATCCGAATTGCATTTCTGACTTGTGTAACAGAGATTATGTATGGTACTTGTAGATTCATCTCACCTAATTAAGAAAAAAAAATAGGAATAAAAAAATTATAAAATAAAAAATCACATCAAGTCTACATAATTCTAAGAAACGCAAATCAACCTAATTTATAGGAATAAATTAAATTTTCCTGATTACATTTCTACATATACTATTACCAACATTTGACTGTAATTTATTCTTGAGCCTGAAATTAAAGTTTTAGGAAGTACAGTAGAAAACCTGTAAAAAAATAGAAGGAGCAACAATCAGTAGCTGATTAAGAAAAGGGTACGGGTTCAGTTGCTTTTGGGGCAGATTGGTCTTATCTTTATCAGGTATGTCCCAAAGGACTACAACATACAGCATAGCTCACATCAATAAATGAATAACTTTGGCTACCCTTCCATTTGAAAAGAAATGAGTGAAATAGAACTCCACATAGATAAGCTGGTTACCAAACTACCTTTTTGACAACAGACAATAGTTAATCATCAAAAAACAATTTTTCGTTCTCTTTTGTCCATTAATATAACCATTAGCATTCAGTCATTAACAAAAGAAAAAACTAATACAAAAATTTTGTTTTGGAATGTATGATCTAATAGGAAAACACACTTATCCATAAATTTACATATGTTCCCACATTAACTAGCACCCTGACCTCCTAAAAAAAACACCAGCAAGCACATCATAAAAAAAAAATGTTTGTATGAAAAAGTTTAATGACTAAAATTTCCCTATTTATTTCCATCAATGGTCACCCTGGCTTGTCACTAACATGCATTTATCAACACTAACATTAAAAACAATTTCATAGTTAATAGAAATTTGAAAATCATAAGTTGATACTAGTAAAATTGAAAGAAGGAAAACACAAAATAAATTATCGACAAAAAAATAATGCACTGAAATGTCTTAGGGTAAAACTAAATCATGTATCTGTAAGAGGCATTAGGTGATATGAATAATCGAAGCAATGTAAGTAAGAATAAAGGCGGTCACTTGCCTCCCAAATCTCAGTACTCAGTTGTTTGCATTCAACCTGTGTGTTTTTCACAATTACCAATAGTTGAGACCAAGAAGTGTTACTGTATTTGAAGAAAAGAGCTGTTTACAGCTAAATTGCTGAGACAGCAAGTATATCAAGAATGTTTTACAAAATTTTAGGAGTTCCATTTGAACAACCTTATGCAGAGTCAAAAAAAATATATTAGTGGGAAGCCCCTTTCCAACAGTTCCATTCCACGGAAAAATTAACAATCATTTTCTTAAACTCTATTTAGTTCTTGCATTAACATAGAGTATGTCTCAGAATGCAAATGGCAGCCATTCTTCTTCATGAGGCTCAGCAATTCTGTGCATTGATCAACATATCCACTCCTAGCTAAGCCATCAATTAGAATTTTCCATGCCACTTCATCATAATTATACCCACAACGTAGTAAACTATGAAAAACTGCTTGAGCCTTCTCTTTGTTCATTTGTTCAAACAGCCCACAAATAAGAAGCTTATAGGATTCCAGATGCGCTAAATGACTGCACTTCACCATAGAATCTAACAATGCCACTGCTTCCATGAACATTCCCAACTTGCAACAACTACTTAGAAGAGAATTGTGAATACATTCAGAGGGAGAGGTTCCACTTTTCCTCATTTGATGATACAAATTGAAGGCTATGTCCAAACGTCCTACTTTGCAAAGTCCTTTAATAAGCTTGCTGTAAGTGTTAAGATTGGGCACACAGCCACATTCTGCCATTTTCTCAAAGAGCACAGTAGTGATTTCAACATCCATTTTATTCCATATATCTGCATTGTCGACAGATATATTACTTAAATCAAGCCCCACAGGATTGCTGTCCTTCTTATTTTTTTCAATCATTAGATGCTTCATTAGAATAGAGTATGTTTGATAAGAAGGCTCAGAGCCAGTATCAAACATGCGTTTGAGAACACCAAATGCGCTATCAAGTAGTCCCATATATCCATATGCATTAATTAATAAATTATAGATAAAGGAGTCAAGCAACACGCCTTCACCATTAATCTTGACCACCATCTCTTCAGCCTCATCTAATCTTCCCTGGATACAATATGCCTTGATAAAAGCAGTATATGTGACCACATTAGGCTGATATCCAGATGAAATGATTTCGTTGAGAAGCTCATTAGCTCGGTCAAAGTCAAATTCCTTCAACACTTCCTCAACAAGAATAGTGTAAGTATGAAGAGTGGGCTTCACATCAAACTTTACCATGTCTTCCACCAACAATATTGCATCTTGTATTTTACCCTCTTTGCGTAAGCCATCTATCAATACATTGAATGTGATTGAGTTGGGCATACATTCCTCTGAAAGCATCCTTTTAAACAATAATAGGGCATATTCAATTTTCCCACCTTTGCAGTAACCTTCAATCAAGGCTGTATATATATGTCCATTTGCTTTCACATTTTTTTCCTTGATCTGATGAGCTTCTCTAACCCTGCCCATTCTACAGAGGCAGCCTATAAAAGCGCTAAAAGTCCATTCATCTGGACTGAAGCCATCTTTAATCATCAAATGGAACAAGCGAGATGCACTATCTACAATGCCTGTTTTACACAGCCCATGGATTAACGTATTATATGTAATAACATTTGGTGACAAATTATTCTCAACCATTTCATTTACCAGAGCCATTGCCCTATCCATACTTTTACCCCTACAAAAACCACAAATCAACTCATTATACGTCCGCTCATTTGGACAAACTTTCTTCGACTCCATCAGACCCAAAACCCCCATGGCATCCTCCATCATCCCCCGTTTACAATAACCACCAATCAACGCATTGTATGGGACAACACTAGGAGCCATGCCTTTCTCCACCATTTTGTTTAACATTTCCACTGCCTCCTCCATCCTACTCTCCTCGCAAAAGTAATCAATTAAAACAGTGTAAGTATAAACATTAGGCTCGCAACCTCTTTCCACCATCTCCCCTAAAAGACTCAAAGCCTCCACCTCCTTCCTCGACTCACACAACGCACCAATGAGAACGGTATAAGTCCGAACCGTGGGAAAACAACCATCCTCCCTCATCTGCGACCACAAGTTAAGAGCCTCATCAAGCCGCCCAGCTTCGCAAAGCCCATGCATAAGATTAGTATATGAAACCGCATTCCTCCCCTTCGGCATAACCTGAAACACTCTATAAGCTCTCTCTACAGCATTGTTTCTACAATAACCCAATATCAATGAAGCATACGTAAACGAATCAGGACAAAACCCACATCTTAATAACCTAGTCAAGAACAGTCTTGCCACAGCCATGTTCCCGGATTTGCAATAAGAATTCAACATCGTATTCAACGTGATCAAGTTAGGGAAAACATCATCATTCCCATTACCACTACCATTACCATTATCATCCAACATCTCCTTATACAAACTTATCATTTCATCAACCATTGAAAAGCGAGACAAGCACATGAAGAGTCTATTATAGGAAGTGACAGAGAGCTTAAAAGAGAGTTGGTGATCCTCAGGGGCGGAGTTCATTCGGCGGAGGAGATTGAGCACAAACCTGGCGTTTTGTGAGGAGGCGCAGCATTTGATCAAGGAGTTGCGGACATTCTCGGCGGCACGGAGGGCTCCGTGGCGAACGAGGATAAGGAGGAGGGACTCGTATGTGCGGACGGTGTGGGTGAAGGCGTGTTTGTGGCGGATCCACCGGAAGAAGTTTAGGGCTGTGAGAGGGTCAGGGTTGAGGTTGAAGAGAGAAGAGAGAAGAGAAGGGGTTAGGGAGGGGATTAGGGCGTTAAGAGAAGGGTCTTTTCGCCATTGGGGGCGAGAGAGAATGGCGAAGATTTGAGAGGGGAGAGAGGGTTGGTGAGAGAGAGGAGCGGCCGAAGATAAGGGTTTGCGAGTGTAGCGGTGGAGAAGAAGGAAAACTGGTTCGAATTTTCTCATTTAAAAGCCATACAGTGACCACGGTTTGTGGTGGCTATGGCGTCTGATGCAGTGAAAGAAGACGAAGAGAGAGTGTTACTTACAGAAGAAGAATGGTTTGTTGCTGAGGCTATGGAGAAATTGGGCCGGCCCGAGTGTTTTGGGCCACGTAGGTTTCGCTATCGTGGTTCACCCTCGGCCAAGGGTGCTGCACATGCAGACACTTACTTTCTTTTAATTCACTATGGTGGATGGAATTGTGTATGATAAACTTAGTAGTTTTTATAATAATCATTTTAAAATTTATGTTTGGCATGATTTCTAATTAATCATTGTTTAAATAAATTTAAATTTACAAACTAAAATTCATAAACACAGTAAAAGAAGCATCTGGTAACAACGCAGGAACAAGGAAACCAGGACTAACATAAAAAATTCTTAAAGTTGCTACTTCAATTCTAAGGTGATGGTTAGTTAAAGCATAATCTGCTTGGTTGGTTTCTCTCAACACACGCCTCAGCAAAATGTTGTTCATCCTTTGAAAACTGAATTCACAACAGAACAAGAATCTGATTCCAGAATTATAAGCCCATGGGAAAATTGCATGATTCAGGAAACTTATGTGCAATCTCTCAACACACTTCCACAAACAACAAGCCTATTTTCTCTAATTTTAAACAATTTATTAATAGATTTTAAATTAAAACAATTTTGGGCAACAATTCCTTTTGACATATTTTAACAAATCCTTACTTTGTTCTTGATAATATTCAGTTAATATGGCAAAAAAGAAGTTATAGCTGTTATTAGATAAAAATAAACACCAATTAAATGATAAGTCAACTCGTTTCTAATAATAAAATTACCCTACTATTTAAGATAACTTAGTTTTAAAAGGATAATCATGCTTAAATATTCTAGATTATTTAAAAAAAAAAACTAAATCAAACAAACAAACACATTACAATATACTTCAACTCAAAAAATATTTATTTTTCTCTCTTAATCACCACATCCATGGAAACAAAAGAGAAGATAACTTTTAATCTCCCAAAAGAAAAAAAAACTCAAATAAAGTTTTAAGCAAAGTTTGCGTTAAATAACAAAATGACTATTTATTTTTTTATTTATAATCTTAAAAATTAAACATGTCTTGCTATATATATATATATATATATATATATATATATATATATATATATATATATATATATATATATATATATATATATATATATATTAATATTATTAGATTAATTATACATTCACGCTAAAATAAAATAAAAATAAGTAAATTGACATTTATAAAACATATTAATAGTACTTCATCGACGTGACATGCACCAATCTTCGTATCTTATTAGGACAGTGCTTTTCATTTCCCACCAATCTTGATTTTCCCTTCATTCTCTATCCAATCAATTAGTGTAAATCCAGGGGTTAATCAAATAATTAACCAAATTAATCATTACATATTTATTTTTATAATTAGGTTTTTTATTCTTTAGCACACTCTATTATATATACTGGTATATGACATTTAATTATTTTGAATGTGATTACAAACTCTCTCACTTCTAATTACTTTAATACTTATGTAAATTATTTATCAAGCTTCTTAATAATTAATGACGAAAATATCAAGTTAGTAGAGTTTAATTTATTATATGTGTTTTCTCTATTTAGAAAAGTTAAATTACAATCATGGTTAAGGATTTAAGTTCACTTTCAATGAGTTAGAATTTTAATATAATTAAATGAAACTTTTATAAACTTATTGAATGATTATAAAAAGCTTACACACTTTAAGTTTCCAATTTTAACCCAGTGTTTCATTATGTTGGTTAATCCGATACTACTAAATGATATTTTGATTAAGGATTCTTTTAATAATTTTTTTATAGGTGATTTTGAGAAGAAAATAAGGAAAAATAGATAATATAAATTTCTTTTATAAATTAAAATTATTTTATATTAATTACATGTCATTAATTTTAATTTCTGTATAAGTTCATTTTAATTTAAAAAAATTATGACAGCAACAATTTTCTTATAATTTATAACAATTTTAATTAAATCCTCATGGATTAATTGAATGTCAGATTTCGTAGGAAGTAGTAGGCATTCACGCAGTCGTTGATTTTAGATTCTTATAACAGCAACAATTTTCTGACATTTTAATGTATCATTTTTTATAGAAATGCTAAAAAATCCACTACTAAGTAATCTTTCATCTCACTGCATAGTTTGTAATTTATAGAAAAATAAGTATAAGAAAATTATAATATTTGACTCAGATTTCTCTATCAACTAAATTATATTTTCCTATTAAAAAATTGAAGATAGAAATATAAATAACAAAAATTACGAATAATTAAAATTTAATGAACTAAATATAGGAGGAAAAAAAACTAGGGATCAAAATTATAAATCTTGTAAATTATATGACGAAAATTACAATTAGGCCAAAAATACAATCTTCCCTCCACTTGTTATGCATGTTATTATAAATAAAATATTACCTCCATTTCATTTTATCTATATTTAAGATTTTCTCATACATATTAGAAAAATAACAAACCAGTTATTGAATGTTTTTTTTTTTTACTAAAGTATTTTCACATTCTTCCCTATTTTAATTTTTATATAATTACTCTATATTTAAAAAAAAAACTAACAATGTGTGTTTTATGAATGCATGATATATATTAAGAGTTATTTTGTCACCTAATTGGTTTGTAATTTGAATGGATTAATGATTGTTGAGCGATATTATTTTTCACTAAAATTAGTTAATGATAAAAATAAATTAATGTGAACATTGATTCAAGATAATACTAAAATAAAATAATACTTATTGTGTTGAAACAAATAAATTAAATTATTTTGAAAAACTATAAAAAACTTAGACGACAACTAGAGTAAAACAGTTTTTGCTTTTGAATATTAAACACATATTTAATGATAAATTAAGAGTTATTTGAAAAATTCAAAATTTTTAAGACCTCAATTGTGTATTTATTTAATTATTCTCTTAATCTTGTAGTTCTTAATTATATTTAATCAAGGGTGTAGAAGAAGAAAAATATACAGGTGTAATAACACTTTACTTTTTTACTCTATCACTTTTTTTTTACCATTTATAAAATTTATAACATTATTCTTTTGGCATGTCAAGAAATCTATCTATCTCAAGATTACTATATTTTAACCTTGAAAATATTATTTGATGTTCTCAGTTTGAAAACAAAAATTTATTCTTAACTTGTCTTCAAATAAATTATTATTTGAATTTATAATGAATAAAAAGAATGAATCAACTGAGAAAATAAAACTATTTGAAATATTTGTATTTATTATCTTTTAAGATGAATAAAAAGTATTAATTACAATGAGCTTGATCAATGTAAAAGGAGTCAATATTTTCAAACATCACACCAATACTTATATTTTTCTTCTCTCTTTTATCTTATGTCACTGATTATTTGAGTGTTACACAAGGAAAATGTTTTCCTTCTTGCAGTAAAACACCAATTACGTTAAAACACGTAGAACCAACGAATTCTGAAATGCAGATTCAAGATTCAGATTCGAATCAGTAGATCGAAGCATTTTCCTTACCTCGGGAATTGGGTTTATTACAGTGGGACTCCAACCGTGACACACAAAGATTACGGCATAAACATAAACCAAGCAAATAAAAAATACTAAAAGGAGGTCCACCATCTTCAAACCCTCTTCCGCGTTGCTTCCATTTTCATCACTCCACTCAACCCTTTTCTCTCTTTCACACACTAGAATCAGTGACAAAAGGATACGAACTAGAAATCCTTAACCTTGAGCAAAAGGTTTTACTACTCCACACTCTTCTTGTCCCTTCCTTCAGATCCAAGTGAGTGACTCCACTCGTGCGTGCCCACTCATGAAAAAAAGGTCCCACGCTGGAACCCCTACGCCAAGCAATGCAAGACCCCACCACTTCCGACGCCGATCACCGCCACCACCACGAAACCACGTCGTCGTTTAAGCGAGCCACTGCTGCCACCACCCACCGCTCCAAGCGCCCCGTCTTCAAGGTCCTCCCGGGGCAGATCGCGTTCCGCCTCGTGTGCCACGCCTCTATCGTCGGGGGCCTCATTGGGAGCTCCGGCTCCATCGTCTCCCAGCTCCGCCGCGAGACCGCCTGCAAAATCCACTGCGAGGACTCCCTCTCCAGCGGCGAGGACCGCGTCATCCTCGTCATCGGCTCCCTCTCGCCCCTCAAGGGCCTCCAACTCGGCGACGGCGAGGTCGACGTCTCCAACGCGCAGGAAGCCGTCGTTAGGGTTTTCGAGAGGGTTTGGGAGCTTGAGGCCGAGAAAGGCGTTAATTCTAACAGAGCCGTTAACGGTGAGGTCTTTTCCAAGTTGCTTGCGCACACTTCGCAGATTGGTGCTGTTGTTGGCAAAGGAGGGAAGAACATCACCGCCATTAGGAACAGCAGTGGTGCCAAAGTTAGGGTTTGCCCTCCTCCGCATTGCGCCGCTAAAGACGAGGAGTTAGTTCAAGTAAGTTTTTTTCTTATAGCAATTTGGGTTTTGATGGTCAACGCCTTTGTTGTTGTTAATTTCGAATGGAAATCATGCACGTTACAATGTGTGAGTGTGAGTGGACTGAGGTTTCTGTTTGAGATCATGGGAAAGTGACATCTTTCTGCAAAATAGATTTTGAATGAATCTGATCTTCGATTCTGCTTCTCGGCCAGATGTCAACAACGAATTTATTTTCCCAGTAGTATAAATTGTCATCCAATTTCCCTTTAGCGTGGGTAGGCTTATTTGTTCTGTTCCTACTTCCTACACCTGGATTCATTTGATACCGTGAGAGAACACGTGTTTTGTTGTATAGAAGAATGAAGTTAGCGTGCCCTTAATTTCTGCAGATCATTTGGGTCCTACAGGATATTAAATGCTTTCAATTACTACATATTTATTTTCCTGAAATAGTAAATACCCATATTTTGTTCTTCAATAATACTTTTTTTTTCCCTTATCCTGTGTTCAGCATTTGTCTGTATTTTAACTGGGGCACCACCAAATTGTCAACAAAGGGATATATTATGTTTTTGTAAAATTGATTTTGGTTAAAATTACTTTTAAGGTGATATGATTTATCTTTAGAAGATGTGTTTATTTTAAAAACAAATTAAAATTGATTCTGGTTAAAGTTCAATATAATTTTTTTTTAGTTACAAAAGCTAATTGAATTTGTTTCGATTTAAAATTAATATTGGTTGTAAGATCGATCATTGAATGTGAAATCAAAATATGAACCTTTATTTAAAATTATATTAGCTTCTATTTCATCATTTGGCACAAATCTAAATATGGGAATCATCCTAGTTAAATGTTAGGGATTTCTTTTAATGAACTTCGGAAATAAGTCAAATAGACTTGTCGGTGAAAAATGACTATTTGGAATTATATTTCTTAATCTGTGATCTTGTTTGATTGACAGATAACTGGTGGAATTTTTGCCGTAAAGAAAGCGCTGATTGCTGTATCTCGTTGTCTTCAAGATTGTCCCCCATTAAGCAAAAGTCCTGTTTCTTCTAGTACACCCACTGTTAGCTCTTCTGATAGATCGTCCTCTGATCCCAATGCTGAACTTTTTCCTCACCTTAATTCATTGTTAACCTCCATGGAAGGTTTATCTGTATATGAACGGACCACAAACTCTAATGAAACCTCTGGCCGTGATCCAAAAGGTGCGGAACACGAAGTTGTGTTCAGACTCCTTTGCTCTAATAATGTAGCTGGGAGCGTGATTGGCAAAAGAGGAGCTATAGTCAGAGCTCTGGAAAGCAAAACAGGTGCTTCTATAATCTTTGCAGCTCCTTTAAGCGAGTTTTCCGAGCGCATTGTCACCATTTCTGCTGTAGAGGTCAGTCACATGAGAATGTTTCACCATGACACTACTGACGCATGTTTAAAATTTATAGTATTTTTAATTTTTTATGCCCTCTTTCACGTGTATATGTTCATGCAATGACATGAAATCATGCATTTGATATATCTGTTTTAAAACACATTTTTGGTTTTTCATAATTTGTATTGTTGATTTAGCACTGGCTTTTGTTCATCCAGAGCCTTGAATCTTGTAATTCTCCTGCGCAAGATGCTGTTATTCTTGTCTTTGCTAGAATTATTGAAGATCACATCGGAAAGGGTTTTCTCCCAGTATCTAGTATGGAATCACCTGTAACCTCAAGGCTTTTAGTTGCAAAAAGTACAGTAAATTGCTTGAGCGGCAACGAAGGCCAGGCGATTTCAGAATTGAAAGAAGTAACTGGGGCTGATGTACAAATTTTGCATGGAGAGCCAGTTCCTAATGGTGCTACAGATGATGATGTGGTGGTACAGGTACATCTGTTAATTTCATACAATTTAAGTTGAGTTCTGAATGGTTTAAATTTGTTTACCCGATGCCATGAGCTGCTGTTAATTTTTAGATCCTGATTTTGTTTCCATATGCTGATGTCCTTTCATTTAAAAATGAAAACTTTTGTCTGATGCAAAGTTTTTAATTTAAAACTCTCCAAATATAGAAGGTACTTAACAAAAATATGCTTGGCTAGAAGCTCTGATCCATTTATGTAAAGGCATTTCAGTAAAATGTGGAAAAATATCTATTACTTTCAACAAAAAGCGCATTCCTTCGTACCATTGTGTTGTGTTTATAGTTAATTTGCAATATCTTTCCAATCCTTGTTCTATCTGCTTAGTGATTGGTGTAGTTTCATGCTTTTGTGTACCGACATAGGTTGGGGACTTGGGACTTAGCTGATAACAAATATCTTATCATGTTGCACTGGGTTGAGGCATTTGAGCACCCAGCATAGACTGAGTTTCTTGTTATGGATCCAACAATCTTTTGTTACTGTCTCCTAGTCAAGTTTATACTTAAAGAGAGATTTCATGCAGATCACTGGAGGGTACAGATGTGTACAAAATGCCTTGTCTGCAATCACTTGTAGAATCAGGGATAATATTTTGAACAATGAGGTGGTTGCTCAAGCAAGACCGAAATCTAATTGGAAAGTGAACAAGGATCCTGGAAAGGGTAAGCCTTTTAACCGGGGAAAATCTGCTAATACTTCCGGGAGGTTTCAGCCACGGGTATTCTTCACCTCCTTTGTGTTTTATTTCCTTCCAATTTCTGTTATAACTTTTAATTCTTCCAAACTCATAAGATTATATTGATTAGTAGAATTCATATTTGCAGAATGCTGGGTTGCATGCTGAAACAATATCACAAAATGGAGAATTGCATACCGGTTTAAGTGAGAATTTGGAACGTGGAAGGTTAGTATAATTCTGCTCGCACTCCAAGTGTCTTTGGCGTCATTTTTCACCTTTTTTTCTTGTTCATGTCTAAAGTTGGAACGTGGTTTTCTTTTTCAATTTTTATCGAATAAAATAAAGATTAAATAGGTTACCTTATCAGATAAATATTCATTAGTATTCTTTAGGTTGAATTTCTCTTGTCTCACTTTTTATTTAACATTATTTAATTTTATCTTTCTCTTCTTTTTTTTTTATCTAATTTTTAAAAAGAATTTATATCGTCCTTCTATTTGATTTTATTAACATGCTAATGTCCATTTAGTTGGAAAGATAACATCGGAACATTTTTAAAAGTAGAGAGATTAAAGTGAATAATAGTACAAGTAAAAGAAGGATCAAAAGAATACAACGTCTTATTAATTATTTTTTATTTAACTAATTTATTATTTTTGCTATCTAGATAATTTTTTTCTTTTTACCTAAATATTTTCTTTTATTAGATACTTCCTATTTTTGTGATCATGTTAATATTTTACATCTCTTTTATTCCAAATACTTGATCTATTGTTTGTGACGATCTTGTTAAGGTAATTAAAGTTGTTTTCATGATTCTTTTTCAATTTCAATCATTCGTTTTTAAATTGGATTGGACGAATCAATTCAACCTGTGTGACCAAGAATCAATTCAAAACTAGTACGAATCAGTTAAATAAATCCAAAAGTGATAAAAACTAGGCTATTTCTTAAAAAAATCAATTTATATTTACTTTTCATTGTTTAATTTTTCTAAAACAATTGAAGATAAATTAACACCCTTTGTTAAATATTATTAACTTATTTTGTCTATTATTATTCATTTTGATTCTTTATTTTAAAAGATTTCAATTTGATTTTTTAACTTTTTTTCTTTTAATGTTTAAGGTTGTTCTTCTATCCGATTCCGAACGATTTCAGGGTAAATTGTGACAAAAGATAAAATTGAATTTTTATAAAAAATAGATGATCAAATTAGATATTCTAAAAATAGAGAGATTAAATTGAATGATATTATTAAGATTCCAACATAATGTTTTTAAACCATGACACAAAGCAGACAATGTGAGACTTCTAACACGTCCTTCCAAACTAAAGGACAATTCTTAATTCCAAAAGAATGATCAGAAAAATATTAAACATTGGCTTTCATACCATGTTAAAGTTTTAACATAAAATCAACTGATAATATGGGGAGTAGTCTAACATGTATTTAAATCATACCAAATAATATAAGACAGACGACATGAGACTTCTAACATATATAAATGAAAGGAAGGGAAAAGAATAATTAATGTAAAATCTTTTATTCATAATTATCTGACTTTGAACCCAATGTCACCATATATTAGCTAAACGTCAATAAAATTAGTAATATAATACTCAATAGACAAAATATATAAATTTGTTAAAATATTTCTGACATTTGATCTTTTCTCACAACCTTTGTGCTTGATAAAATCCTTTGGCAGAGGAAACATGTTAGCTACGGTGACAAATACTACTGTGGAGATAGTGGTTTCTGAACATGTCTTTGGGTCTGTTTATGGTGAAGGCGGTGGCAATTTGGATCAAATCAGACAGGTGCTTCATTATTCCCTTAACAAAGATATAGTGGATTAATAATTTGAGGTGAATTGTGGTTTGATTGTCACGTTTTCCATTAAATACTGAGATTTTTGAATAATTTGATTGAAGGTGACTTCTGATTCATAATTTTTAGTAGGTAAAATACAATACATTTTATTAATAATATCTGGCTGGGAAATTTGACTCCATTTATTACATTAGCCGGGAGCAACTGGCCAAAAATTGATGTAATTTTTGGTTTGTTTGCGCCATGTTAAATTTATAGGCCATTATCGAAGTTTAGCTTCAAAAACTCGTGTTTGTTTTTGTATTATTATAAACAGCAGAAAATTTGCTATCTATGATCTGTATTTGCTATTGATTCGTATTTTAGTGCCCTATAAACAGTACAAGTCTTGTATGTTATTGCTATATTGGTATCATTACTCCTTTATGTAGCCTGTTACTCGATGTTTAAAGCTTGCTGAAATGGTTTTACTATGATGTTGGCATTAATATGCGTTTTCTGGGAGCAGATTTCAGGTGCAACTGTAACGGTTTATGATCCTTCCGTTGGTACAAGTGGAGGGAAAGTTGTGATATCTGGGACACCTGATCAAACCTTTGCAGCGCAGAGCTTGCTTCAAGCCTTTATTCAAACGGGACAAGTAAGCTGACCAAAATCAGCATTTCATCGTCAGTTGGTGCCATCAATGGTGTACATACATATATTACACGACAGACAACCTTCACCCTGTGAATATGGATTCACTGTTTTCCTTAAACATCATGCTTACCTCATATTTATATAAACTGATTTTGTTCCCTTTCAAGCTCGCTTTCACTTTTCACTTTTAATCCAAGTTCATCACAGCAACATTTTTCTCCAAGACTCCTTTATCTTCTATTCATCCTCATCCCTTTTTCTGTATTTCTTTTTGTATATATTCCTATAAGCCCATTTTTAATGGAGTTTGAAGAGAAAAAGGAAAAAACAAGAAAACAAGGATAACATTTATTTTTGTTTGACAAATAAAAAAATATTGAATTGGTAACTTATTCTGAAAAATAGTCAGCTGATATTTTGACAACAAAAAAACCATACAATCCTTTAAATAATTCACTTTTATTAATATAATAATTTATAGAATAATTTAATAAAAATAAAAATAAAACAAAATTATTATTATAATATTAAAAGAGAGTTGTTTACAAGAGTTGTATGAATTTGGATCATAAGTATAATTTTCTATGTAAAAAATAGTATTAATAAATTCTATTATATTTCATATGCTTAAATTTAGCTGGAGAATAATAACTTTGCGGTTGCATGATAGTTTTGGTTATGTTTGTAAGATAGTTGTGACAATTAGAATGAAAACGGTATAAAAAACCAGCTAAGCTGATACAGTAGAACTGGTTAAATAGGATAATTTTACTTCTTTACTGTTACACATTAGTATCATTTGTTCAATTCCAGGGAACAATTTGGTGTACCAGCTAATCTGAAGCTTATGTTTGATATTTTAGGTGCAATTTCCTCATTACTATTTGGTACATAATGGTTTGTTTATTGTATCAGCATGTTGAGATTATATCATTTAAAGTTTGGTCACTGAAAGATTGAGAAAAGGTAAATATGGTATACAATTTGATAAAGAAACTAATGTGCGTCTTGTGTGTTGTCTACAAATACATTTGCGTTGTCTACAACTGTTGATCGTGCAAATAATCTGTATTTCAAATAATTTGCTTCCATGAACACAAATAAACTACATCTCCTTTTTACTAAGAGATCAAAGTGCTAACTATTATATGGTTAGATGAAGCTAGTTTCAATCTACTATTACATGAAAATCTTCCGTTAACATAGTATAGGCTGAAGTTTTAATCATAACTATTATCAAATTAATAGATTTAACTATGCCTCCAATTATATAGAACACACGTGATTTTTCTTTTCTAATTAAAGGTAACATGTGATTTGCAAATAAATATTCATTTTGAATAATTAATTTAATCTAATAATTATAATTAATATTTTTATTTCTTATAATAACCAAAATCTTTCATTGAATATACAAGTCACGAATTAATCCATGTTTAATAATTTGATCTTTTATTGTATATTAGTTTTCTTACTTGTTAAATGAGAAAAGAATTAAATATATTTCGTTTTAAAGATATAGAAGCAAGATGATATTGTAATTTGATAACAGTGGAAAATGCCTCGACATAGGAATAGTTTTTTGAACGGTAAACCTGGAGATAACTTGTTTCTTTTTTTTTCTTCATTTAATTTTTTTAAAATACATTGAAGAAGAAAATAAAACAAGACCAGCATGAAAATATGAATTTCTATTCTTCTCTTATTGCTCAATGCGCGCAAAAAAAAACGTCGACTACCCTCAGAGCAGTTCAAACCAACGTCATCAAATCCGGTTTATCGTACTCGTTCTTAGGCCACAAGCTCATTGATGGATACATCAAATGCGGCAGCCTTGCTGAGGCACGCAAGTTGTTCGACGAGTTGCCCGACAGACACATTGTTACATGGAATTCGATGATCTCTTCTCATATCAGTCACGGGAAAAGCAAAGAAGCCGTTGAGTTCTATGGCAACATGCTTGTGGAGGGTGTTTTACCCGATGCCTACACCTTCTCTGCCATCTCTAAGGCATTTCCACAGTTGGGTCTCCTACGCCATGGCCAGATGGCTCATGGTTTGGCTGTCGTTTTGGGTTTGGAGGTCCTGGATGGGTTTGTTGCTAGTGCCCTTGTTGATATGTATGCTAAGTTTGATAAAATGAGCGATGCCCATTCGGTTTTTCACCGTGTTTTGGAGAAAGATGTTGTCTTGTTCACTGCATTGATTGTGGGTTATGCTCAGCATGGTCTTGATGGGAAAGCTTTGGAGGTTTATGAGAACATGGTCAATAGGGGTGTTAAGCCTAACGAGTATACTCTTGCTTGCATCCTGATAAGCTGTGGTAATCTTGGGGATTTAGTTAATGGTCAGTTGATTCATGGTCTTGTAATTAAGTCTGGTCTGGAATCTGTTGTTGCTTCACAGACTTCTCTCCTTACCATGTATTCAAGGTGCAGCATGGTTGATGATTCTATAAAGGTTTTTAATCAGCTTGATTATGCAAATCAGGTGACATGGACATCTTTTGTAGTGGGTCTTGTGCAGAATGGGAGAGAGGAGATTGCTGTGTCAATATTCAGGGAAATGATTCGTTGCTTAATAAGTCCAAATCCTTTCACATTGTCCAGTATTCTTCAAGCATGTTCAAGCCTTGCAATGCTTGAAGTAGGGGAACAGATCCATGCCATAACCATGAAACTAGGATTAGATGGAAATAAGTATACTGGTGCAGCACTGATTAATTTGTACGGAAAATGTGGAAATATAGAGAACGCAAGGTATGTTTTTGATGTTTTAACTGAGTTAGATGTAGTTGCTATCAATTCAATGATCTATGCTTATGCCCAAAATGGTTTCGGGCATGAGGCACTTGAGCTGTTTGAAAGAATGGAAACATTGGGACTCGCGCCCAATGGTGTGACATTTATCAGTATTCTCTTGGCATGCAACAATGCAGGGTTAGTTGAAGAAGGATGCCAAATATTTGCCTCCATTAGGAATAATCACAAAATTGAATTGACAAGAGACCATTTTACTTGTATGATTGATTTACTAGGACGTTCAAGGAGACTTGAGGAGGCTGCAATGTTGATGGAGGAAGTAAGAAATCCGGATGTGGTACTATGGAGGACACTGCTGAACGCTTGTAAGATTCATGGAGAGGTAGAAATGGCAGAGAAAGTTATGAGAAAAATCCTTGAGCTTGCTCCTGAGGATGGGGGAACACATATCCTTTTGACAAATCTTTATGCTTCTGCTGGGAAATGGAACCAGGTGATTGAGATGAAAAGCACAATAAAAGATCTGAAATTGAAGAAGAGTCCTGCAATGAGTTGGGTTGATGTTGATAGAGAGGTGCATACTTTTATGGCTGGAGATTTGTCTCATCCAAGAGCTTATGAGATTTTTGAAATGTTGCATGGAGTAATGGAGAAGGTTAAAACTCTGGGTTATAATCCTGATACCAGATTTGTGTTGCAGGATTTGGATGAAGAGAAGAAAATGAGTTCTTTATATTATCATAGTGAAAAACTGGCAATAGCTTTTGCTTTGTGGAAGACCATTGGTAGGACGACTACTATCAGGATTTTTAAGAATCTTAGAGTTTGCGGTGATTGTCACAGTTGGATAAAATTTGTTTCTTTACTTACTGGGAGAGATATTATTGCTAGAGATGCAAAGAGATTCCATCATTTTAAAGGAGGTTTATGTTCCTGTAAAGATTACTGGTGAATCACATTCGTTATATCCTTTCTTAACAGGTCATACCTCACATGTTAAGGTATAAGCATGTATAATTCATCTGGCACTTTTTCTGACCATAAATTTTAACATTAATTGTTCACACAGATCTGTGCTCAATACATACATGCCTCCATGAAGATGTGAATATTAAAATTTTAGACCGAGGAAGATCTGGGTTTAATATTCCTAATTCAATTAAATCTTTTAGATAATTACTCAAATGTGGTATATAACTTAGTTTAGCTCTTGTTCCTTCATCTGTTTTCTTACCAGAAACAAAGTTACAAGGGAAACGGGATCCTTCTGATAAATATCTGTTTTTTATTCCTTTTATTAAATTTCTTAATAAGATTATTATTCTTAGTCTATAAACGTTCCATGTAAAAAAGAACACTATGATATATTCTACTTTGACACTCAATTGTTACTTTCTAGGCTATTCCGTGTATTTCTTTACCAGACAATCTTCTGGACATGTGATGTTTTCTGTACTCAAATAGCACAAACAGTGAATCAGTGACAATGGAATGAACTCTGCTTGATATTAGCTGATATTTGTCATTATCAGCATGTAGTCGAACCACGAGTTACAGAAGTTTGGCATTCTGTCAGAAATTAGAAGTTAGAACCTTGTTGTTAAGATAATACCATTGGTGAGGAAAATAAATCATTGATGAATATCAAGTATAAACTGAATCCATATTGATAATAAAATCACTACATCATGACTATAGGCTGATATCAAGACACGGTCTGTGATTGGGTTCAATTATTGAAATATTGACCAGCAAATTGAGTATATAATTGTCATTTGCATGATTACTGCTGTTGGACTTGGTTAACATGGGCATCACTTATCGAGTATATCTAATAGCAAATTTTACTTCACGACAAAACCTACATGCACTCTTCTAAGATGTAATTTGTCTTTCAGATCTCTGGTAATATTCTTATTTTGTTTATCTTTTTACTTGAACTATATAGCTTCTATTGGCCTTTCAGAAGAGACAAGACTGTTGCAGCAATGTTCTTTGATGAAAGTCCTGCTTCTTCTTTCTGATCTTGTGGTAATCCATGCTCATGTACCAATCAGGAAGCGTCATTGGTCTCTACTGCAGGAAAAAACTGAAACGAGAGTTAGAACTAGAAAAATAGAGCAGTAGTGGGACAAACAAATTGAAAATAAAATCATGGAAAGAGTGAGCTCAGCTGTCAACATGAAAGGAAGGCTTACCTTCCGTGGTTCATCCAGGATGCTGGCTATACAAGGAAATGTGAAACAAAACCTCCAACAGAACCATCTTCCACTGTAAGGAGAAACTCATTCTCCTTACCTAATGGCTTGATGAGATCAGTATCCAAAGGTTTGCGAAACCTAGCACCAGCAACAGTCACAGAAAAATATAGTGGTTTGAGCATTTGTGCTGCTTGCAAGCATTGTTGAATTACAGGAATTCTGCCCTTTCCTATCTAAATAATAAAAAAAATTCCATTTGATTGCCTATATATTCAGCATTCTGTTTGGAAAGTATCTGTTACTTTTGCTAACTTCAAGTGGAGTTCCATTGTTATTTGAGGGCGAACTGGCTCCAATTCCGTTGCCTCTCGAAAATCTAAAGCAGCTTGGTCTGTCATCTCTGGCTGCGGCTGTTGCAAACATTTGCATCAGCTCAGCTTCATCAGATGGAGCCATGACCACCATATTGGGCAAGCAGGCCATGTATGTGATATCAAATGCCCTACAATGAGTTGGTCCATCTACTCCAACCAAACTAGCCTTATCCACAGAAAATCGGACTGGTAGTTTCTACTGATCTACGCCATGACTCACCTTCATACCCAATATACCTAAAAATGTAAGATTATTTGTGGCAGTCAAACTGGCATTCAAGAAAAACAAAAAAATCAGAATTTGCTATATTTTTGCCTACTGTTATTTTCTCACTATCTCACCTGATCATATCCACATTGTAGAAATGATGAATAGATGGTACAAAAGGGCTTGCGACCTTCTGCTGCCAAACCAGCTGCACATGTAACTGCATGTTGTTCAGCTATCCCCACATCAAAGCATCCACTGCAAATATTTTCTGGATAAATTAAAATAAAATGAAAAACACTACATTATGTTTAACAAATTTCATAACACAACGTAAATTGTGCCTTTTGAATATATATTAGCTTCTTATGATAATAATTGTAAGCAAAATTACATGAATTGGTGTACCATGTATTAAAAAAAGTACATAAAGATATTTACTTGTACAAAATATTTTCTTGACATCTTATTTGCTCTTCAATTCCTAATAAACACAGCATAGGAGTTGAGGATTCTATGGTATTTGGATACTATAAACTGTTATGCATGTAAAACTTCACATCGTCCTTGAATAATTGAGGTAAAAAATCTAAAAAAATTTCTCAGAAATTAATAGGATGTAAGCCTTTTAATAAAAAATAATATTTCATTTTTTTTCTTTGAAAAACCTATAGATCATCCATTCTTGTAGAAATTTTTTTATGGCATTCTATTGCTCTTCAATTTGTAATCAACACCAGATAGGAATTAGGGACTCATAGGCATAGCCCAGCAGAAAAGAATGACCTGTATATCCAGAGTCCACCTTGTGATGATGAAAGAGATTTGAGAAATGTTTAGGAAACTCAAAAATGATTTAACATTTTAGGAATGGAAAAAATGTTAAATCAGAACACGCAGAGCAAGAGCAGGACTAGACTAGCTATGCTTATATCACGAGGTTAAAATTACAATTTATTGTCAAGTTTTATCCCAACAAATATATTTTATAACAAATAATTTTATTCAAATTGTTCAATTCTAATAATATATGAAAATTTGTTGAATTAAGGATAGTCATATTACCAATTTTATCTTTTCAAATAAAAAAAAAAAAAAACTACGTGTTTATTTAAATTCTGACTCCCTCCTTCAAAGAAAATCCTCTCCGAACTCAACTTTTTTTTCTTTTCCTGCAAAATCTGGTTTACAACTTAATCTGAATAGTTTTTTTTTTGTTTAATCAAAGTCAAGCCTAATCTAAAATATACGAATCAGGGTTAGAACCTAATTTGTTAATTGATTTATATATCATTAAAAAAAATGAAAAATAAGAGCAATTTAAAAAACCTTGTATCTCAAAATTCCATAAGCTATTTGGGTTTAGATGCTGTCACAGATTCATCAATTAAAAAAGAGGTAATACAATGCTCTTGTTAAAGCCAATAGAATGAAAACAATATACTAAGTATTCAGTAGTGAGGGGAGAAAATAGAATGACGCAAACTAGGGCAGTGGCCAAGAGTAATTGGATACTGAGTGAATTTAACATTATTGATATTTTTTCTTACTTTTAGAGATTTTAATTTTTATTTTATATGATCAGATATCAGGTTTGAATAAATTATTTATATTCCATTAAAAATATGTATCTAATTAAAATTCCAGAATTTTCATTATCTTCCCGAGTCCTTAATTCTTTTTCTATATCTTGTTAATTAAGACTCTTGAAAAATTAGTATTTTTTTTATATAAAATATACAAAACACGCATTTAATAGGCCCTTTTAAGCGTATCAAAAGAGCATTCTTGTAAGAAAAGTTTCTTATTTTCGTAATGAAGAAAGTACTTTATCAAGAAACTTAAATCACTGCGATGATCACAACCCCTCGTAAGTTTAGTTAGTAATGGAAGTATAGTTAGATGGCCCAGATGATAGTGCATGACTACTAACACATGATGGCCTTTATTCCAGGGTAATATTATGCCAAATTATGTAATTATAGATCAATTGTCCAGCTAAGTTAAATACCATGAGTCAGTCAGGTGTTAGAATTGAAAGCCAAACCAACGTTCTAGTTAGGATTTTGAACAGCTTGAACAAATTGCACCTGCCTTAATAGCTTGGCTATGTAATAGTTTCAACCCAAGAAAGAGCCTTATCACAAATAAATAACAAATTAACCGAAATGTTGTGGGTGCAAGAATATAGAAAAGTCAGCTGCTGTATAAAAAACTGTAATTGGCTATTTACAGTGCTTTCTCAGTTGCTAAAACTGTAAGTTGTATACAAAACAAGAGTTCTTAGAGTGAGTCTAAATATCAGTATTTGATCGTGTGATGGCGTAACCAGAGGTCATACATAACCAAATGGAAAGCATCGAATCTGATTGGGGGCGAATTCCATTGGAAATGTTTCTGAACCTGGTAGTGCATGAAGCAACTTTGTGTGAGCTCTAACATATAAAAAAATTAATTCAATTGAAAATGAAATTCTACCGACCAAACAATGTTTTTTCTGAACTAAAGGCAGAAAACTAATATCTAGATATTCATATGAAGTAATGAGAAGATTTATACCTTTACCAAATTATTATGAAGTGCAACAAACTCGGCATCTGATATGTTTTTGAGGATTTGTTTAAGCTGGTATACATCTTTCTCTTTGAGTATAACAGCAAATTTATTCCAGTCAAGAATATCGTTAAAAGGAAGGTCATAGTAATTTGACAATATCACTGCAAAACAGCATTAACAACTTTAGGTCAGTTACAAGTTTGTCTACATAATCCTGTCCCAGAGGCAGCAATATCAAAGCAGAAGATAAATTTATTCAAACCAAGTTACAGTTCAAATGTCATTCACAACATCCATATGTTGTTCTTTTTAACAAACTAAGGTGAAGTATATATGTAATCTGTTTACAAATGGCTTCTACTGAATTTGACCTTAATAAGGTACTGCAATATTAGCTTAAGAAGATTGGAGGGGTGGAGCAAGGGTGAATAGTCCTAATTTTGATTCCCCCTATTGTGTTCCACAATTCAATGATTGTATTACAACCTCCACTCCCTCCAACAGCCCAACAATAAAAGGGTTCACTTATGATACATTCCAATTATCAAATATGCATTTTCAATGCAAACTATGTTTGTATATAGATAAAGACGGTTAATTAATTGATTATTGAACCACCAAAATTCAGACACTCATATATCATTCCACAATAAAGTTGCAAATCCACTATCTAATCTTAGGAGTGATAGAAGCAAGTAAAGGTTAATAATCAGTCTAGACAAGGATAGGATTTGCAAATGATTCTTAATAGACACAAGAACTATGCAACCACTTTCACAACATCCATGAAAAATGACAAAAACCATTAGGCAATAAGTATTTGGTAATTATATACTTGTACCGTCAGTCATAAAGGTATGCAGATTTAAGATGCTTAATGCACAACAATAAAATCAAAAGGAAAAAATAATTCGAAAGGATGATCTCACCAGGGATGCACCCATAATGGATAGAGTCTGCTATTCGAGCACTATTGACCTGGGATCCACCAGGACATATACAAAACTTACTCCTGTAAAATCTCTTCTGGTACACTAGATGCCCAGTAGCCCGACTAATTCTGTTGTTTGAAATATCAAGCTCTGTGTCATTTTCCCACACACGCGCAAGAATAACTCTAATTTTAGAGTTACGATGACCAGCCCAAAATCCAAGTGTAGTCCTGCAAAGCACAAATTTTGATAATTTTTCAGAATCAATAGATATGCATGTCGAACAAACTATGTATCAAATCCAGCAGCAGTATTAATTAATCTTATGAAATAAATTAGCTAAGTATTCCTACTAAATAGGTTGCTGGAAATATACATTCTACATTAATTTTTTATACTAATTTACATGAAATGAATAAAAATGTATTAAATCGAGTTTTGGAACAGGATAGAAACATTGAAATACAGAAAAGCATCTTTGTTGTAACATGGAGATTGTAAGTAAAAAAAGACACTGACATTTTTCATGTCTTAAGCTATTTGCAAGCTGTGTGTACTGCATGGGAGGTTTTAAGATCCACAGCATAGATAGTGTCCAACCAGGATACCAGAAACTACGGAGCAACTGCAGATTATTATAGAAACTAAAAAAGACTTGAGGGATATGAGCAGGTGTCTGATAAAGGTGTTTGTACATTCTGAGAAATATCAAGTAACTGCCATCTCTTTGACCATAAAAAATTTAACAAACCCTTCGAAAGCTGGATGATAAGTCATCCAAACAGAAAATCGAATCCCCAAAACCAAATCTCCCCCAATTCAGGCAAATAATGAACTAAATTAGAGCAACACATGACTTAAAAAACTTCACCTGTTTTCTACATCATTCCCTCCAGCAGGGAGTGCAAAAGGCTGTAGCACTTGAGGGAGAGCAACGTCTTTGTGCGGAATAAATCCAACATCATAGCTGGGGGAGCATACTGCTCGAATGGAATTCTTCACAAGAAATTCAAGTCCTTCCGTTGCCCTCACACCAACATCATGACAAGTGACAAAGAAATGATCAGCCCCCAAGGTTCTGTTCCAATAAGGATATTTGAATATCAAGCTCTCCACATAATTTTGTACGATTATCGTCATATTCTCATAAGAAGTTCCCTGCATAACACACGAACATAAGACCACATTCCACGTAGAAGCAGTCACTTAACCATCCAATGTGGGATCTTTATAATTTTGTCAATCTTTCCTTCTTATTCATCACTCTTTTTTATTTTCTTTTTTTCTTTTTTATAATTTTGAGTTCGAATCTACAATGTGGGATTTTTATCACATCTCCTCACACCAACGACTAGATATCCCAAGTCTAAAGTCTGTAAAAGTAGACAACAATGGATTGTCTAAAAACAAGTGACTTGGGAGGTCCAACATCAACCATTAGAAAAGACTTTGATAACAAGTGGCCTAACAATTCCAGCAAACAACTATAAGATAGGTTTGATAACATCTTTGCTTTTTGAGTTCGAACTTGACCCCAAAAGCTTGCTAGCTGAGTAAGACTTGCCCCTACTTATATTCACCATTTTGGCCATATCACTAAGCAATAAAATATCTCCAACAATTTCCGTTTCAACTAACAATCCACAGTCACAACTCACTAGCAAAGCATGCATGCATCTAACATTCTCCTACCACTCACCCCCGATCTCAACAAGAGAGAATGCAGAAAGAGAAAGAAATACCTTGCCACGCATCTTGTGACAGGAGATGGGGATGAAGAAGAGGTGCGCCTGATCGGGGTTTTCGGTGCGGAAGCGACTCTCTCTGATGTTCTGGAAGAAATAGCCCTCACTGGCGTACTTCCCGGTGAGCTTCCTCGGCGTCTGGTAGAACGTGTTGGGATCCCCATCGGGATATATGTACACCTTGAACTTCTTCTCCATCTCCTCGTAGTTGAGCTTGAACACGCGCGGCGAGTGGTACGTGTCCGAATACTCTCCTTCTTCTTCTTCTCCTCCTCCTCCTCGCTCCTCTTCTTTCCCTGTTACCGGCGCGTCGACGAGCTTCGAGAGGGAGAGCTTGGAAACCTAGAGCAAAAGGGTAACAGAGAAAGCCGTGAAAAATGAGAAATTGGGAAATGGGGTGGGAGGAAAAGGAGAAAGGGGTACCTGGGGTGGAGGGGTGGAGTATTTGAGAGAGAGGTATGTGAAGGAGAGAAGAGTGAGGATTGCGAGGAAGAGAAGTGAGCCTCGCAGAGAGAAGAACCACGATTGTTGCTTCCCGGTCGTCATCACAATTGGATTCAACCCTGCTGCGAAGTGTTGGTACCTTTGATTTTGATCTATGTTCGCATCAGTTTGAAGATTTTGAGGGTTAGATTAGAGTGATATGATGAGAGTAAGAGATGAAGCGGATTGGATTGAGATGCAGATGAAATCTGCGATGTGAGGCTTCGAATCTTCCTCACTCTTACACCATTTTCATATCAAAATGCTTCGCTGGCTCTGCCTCCTCTAATTTTCTGTCTTTCCAAGTTACATCACACTTTAATTCAGTAACACTAGTTTATTCTACATTTTAGAGGAGCAGTTACATATATTAAAACTGTAATTTATATATGAATAATAGTAGAAAAAATAATAACTAAATTTATCGTTTAATAAAATAAATATTCGAGATATATTCTAGATTAATTTATATTCAAACGTAATTGATTTTATAAGTTATTCTGACTCTGCTGCCTGAAATCAGTTTTTTTTTTCAATTTTAGTTAATTCTGATAATTTATATCTTCTCATTTGCTAAGTTCATTTTAGTTTAAATGAAGATAACTCTAAAAACCACCTTTAATTTGTTTTTTTATTTGAAGTTTTGTTTTAAAAGACTAAATTTTATCAGAAGTTGTGTTTTAGTACGATTTATTTATATTTAGAATTTTTTTAAATTTAAATATTTTGGAAACTTAAAAAAAATTATCTAAATATGTTAAAAAATGGAAAATAAAAATAAAAATAATATTTGTTCGTTGGAAAAAGGTGACCTCTAGGATAGGTTGGATTAAAGAAAAATAAAATATTGAGAAATAAAGTAATAAAAAAGAAAAAAAAACGGATAAGAAGAATTGAGATTTTTAGTTAAATAGAAATAAGGTTGAATAAATAAAGGAAATTTTAATATTTTAAAATTGTTTAATTACTTTTTTATTTTTTTTACTTTTTATTTATTTTATTTGGTCTTTTTATTAATGAAATATTAAATTAAGTATTCCAATTTATACATAGAACAATCTAACTCTTTCAACATTGAATCAATTATTCAATTTTGAAAACTACAATGTAACATTTTTTTTACATCGTTAGTTTCACAAATATTCTTGATACGTTTGTTATAAATTGTATTATACATAAAAGAAAAACCTTAATATTTTTAGTGATCTTAATTCTAATTAGATAAAAAAAAGTGCACCATTGATGTATGCTAAAAAAATCAACTTTTTATTAATATTAGTACCAAATTGAATAAAATAATAAATAATAGATTAAAAAGGTAATTAAGTTCTTAATTTATTAATCGTAATGGAAGAATGACTTTATTTTTATTTATTTTTTATAAATAATGTCAATGTTATAATTAATAATCATAAATATACAGTTAGATTAAAGTATATACTGATTTTATTATTAGTTTCTTATTTAGAATGTATTTTAGTAATCATAAATATATTACACTGAATACCGATTTTGTTATTATTTTCTTTTCTTAAAAATGTGTCTTATCAGTTTAAGAAAGGATGTTGTTTATAGTTATATTTGATCTTAATTATTAAGTAATGTGAAATTTGGTGTGTATTAAAATAAATCCTTCTATTAATGATAAAATATATAAAAATATTATTGTGATTATAAAATTTAATTAATATTTATTAATAAATTAGTTTGTATAGATAAGAGTGGTAAGTAAAATTTTGATTTTATTAAACAATAACCAAAAACTTATTAAATAAAATCACAGGTTTAAGTCCATTAATTTAATTTTGAAAAGAAGATGATATTATGACTTTTATTTTATTAATTGGATAAGATAATTAAGTTATTATCTTTGTCCTGTCATCACTCATTTTGCCCTCAATATTGAAAGAATATGTTTTTACTTTTCCAATTACACTTGACATAATGAAATTGTAAAATGTATTCATAATAGCCACCCATTTGGAATCAAATTTTATGTCATGGAACCATAGAATACTCTCATTTCATGACAAGAAATACCCATTTACTTACATCATTTCTTACTTCTCTTTTCAAAGAATAAAAACTCTTTTAATTAGATTTACTTTTCAGTAAGGGGAGTTGATTTCAAACTTCAATCTTTCATTTAATGAATTTTTATAATCTTAAAATTGTCATATTTTAATTGCAACTATGTGACGTTTTTCTTGAACTTCTAACATAAAAAAGAATTATATTAATTTTTTTAATTTTCTTTGTTTTATATTTGTATGAATCTTATTTGATAGATTTGAGTTTAAAAATTGGTTCACTGATAGCGAAACTCAAAGTATGAACTAAATATCATCTAAATCTGAGTTGTCGGATAAAGTTTTCTATATGTTTTTTTTAATAAAATTGTGTTGAGTTTTAATATAATAATAATAATAATAATAATAATAATAATAATAATTTAGTTTTTATATAAAACTATGATGTAATGATAGTGTTATTATAACGAAGGTGGAAAGTGCTAACCAATTAAGAGTGCAGCTCACAAATACTCCATTTTTATTTTTATTTTTCTGCAAAATGGGAGAAGGAGAAGGAGTTAAAACCCTCTCCAAGCAATCGAAGATGAAGACCACTACCTTACTAGTTTACTTGAATCATGCTACCAAGCCCATGCTTCACATCATATTCTTCCCTGTCATTGCAAGAATTGACACCTAAGAGTGGGGACTCTTCAGACATATAAAATCAGCGGAGTTTGTCAGATTTACACAGAATGAAGGAAGAAAGACGAGGGAATCTCATGTCCTACAAATGCACCGTAATCGCATGAGAGCCTTCGTCAGAAGCCTGGAGGGAATTTTCAAATAATATAAAAATATAATAAATTAATTATTATTTAAGTTGTGATAAAAAAAAAACTAAAAATTATTACATTTTTTTATAAAAAATTATATATATATATATATATATATATATTTTTACCAAAATTTGATAAAAAAATTATCTGAAAACTGATTTTGTATTGATTTTTATACTGATTTAATTAAAATTTAACTATTTAAAACTAAGAAACTAAGTTCTAAATTAATTTTCAATTAGATTAATTAAACTGATTAATTTGATTTGATTTTCAAAGCAATTAACAATTTATTTTATGGTGAGTATAACACTAATGTTGTGTTTGGTTCACTACTACACCCTAAAATAAATTTCTCAATTTTTATTAGTTATTTTAATTGTGGGCTAACATGTACCCACATGTTCATAGTTATTGGGCCTCGTCGTGACTGTGATTAGTTGCAAGGAAAGCAGCAGAGTTGAAACACAACTTCACATTATCAAGGTTGATTTTCAGAACAAAGTCTTACTGTATATGCCTATATAATATAATGAAAACACTTAGAAGAATTCAAAGAATGAATATAATATATAATATAATATAAAAGATAGTAATAATTATTTTTGGTGTACATCGTAAATTTTATAATTATTTATGTTACAATAATTATTTTATATTATGTTACAGATATGTGTACACTTGACGTGTTGGGTTTAGGGCTGAATGTTAATGTTTCGTATTACTTGATGTTATCCTTAAATGTTTATGTTAGACTTGATATTTTTATTACAGTGAAGCTTAATATTTATACTTAGTAAACCATAATATTTTTTAATTTAAATACTAAGTATATATATATATATATATATATTGATATTGATATTATAATTTAATATCTTAGTAAAATCTTATGCTTATAAGTAATAAAATAATATTTATATTTTGAGTTTATAAAATAAATTTATACTTTGTATACTTGAAAATGTTAAAAAGTATAAAATTAGGTAAATGCTAGGAAATAATATAAAAGGATAATAATAATTATTATTATTTTTACTACATTGTAAAATTTCATTTTTATTGTTCTTTTATAAAAATAACATTTATGACAGGATAGTATTTTTTTATATGGATTAATAATTTATAGATGTTTTACTTACAATAAGAAATACACATTTTTATTTTCAATTTGTTATAAAGTTTTTTTTTTTTATCTGAAACATGATTAAACGCAATGCATAAAAAAAAAAATTCAGAAATGTTCCACGTTGATCTTCTCCCACTGCACACTTCTTCGGGTCATATTTTGAATAAAAGAAAATTGGGTTTTCCTTTCCGTTATGAAAGACAAAATTTTGACGAAATTGATTGATGTTATCAATTGAGACACTTTTTCTCATAAAAGTTATAAATAATGTTTTAATTAACGTAGAAAGAGTTAATTTTCTATCATTATTGTTATTAATATGAAACAAATATTGATATTTGAATAATCTTTCCTTTGAAGAAATATCAATTAGTTTATATTTATAGTCCGATTGAAAAATTGTAATGTATTTTCTATTTTTTTAGAAGTTAAACTTTAATTTTCTCTTGTTCCCTTATTTGTTAGTAAGGGAAATTGTGAATCTTTATTATTTTAATTAGTAAATTTAAATATTCAATATTGAGATTCATGTTTAAACTATGACTTTTTGTTGCATATATTTTATATCATTAACTATTAAAAAAAAGAGTATATGATATTGATTGTTAGACGCTAGAGTTATGCATGTACTCAACATCTATTAAATATTATTATAGTTAATAAATTGTATATTATAAACTTTAATTAAATAATGTTATATGTATTTGCAGTTTTAAATGGTAAGATATTGAAGTATAAATAATGAATCTTCAAATATGAAGAAGATAAATATTATAATTATTTTTAGAGATTAAATACTCGTTGGTGATTATTATAATTATTTTTTGTCAATTTTAAGTATATTTGCAACATATTTGTAGGATAAAGTATGAGTGAAGTGAATAACATTCTAACAAATGAGAAAAATCATCACTATACATAGTTGATGTTATTAAATAAAAAGATTATAATTAATGTAATATTGCTTAGTAAATTAATAAGTAGATATGTGAAAAGAAGGAAGGATTAAATATAAGGTCTGAAATAGTACGTTTTATATTCTTAGATGAATGTTAATACTGTAATTTCATTAAATTGTCAAAA